CTGAGTGCAAAAATGGAGGCTCTAGACCCTTCCAGAGCTGAGATATCAAATTTCAAAATTTCGACCCGAAAAAAAAAACGACAGTGTTACCCCTTCGTTTTTTTTCATTTTCGGGCGGAAAATTAATTTTCTCCAATCTTCTCAAAAACTCTGGATTATGAAAGAGGGCTGTGAGACTTTGACCTGAGTGCAAAAATGGAAGCTCTAGACACTTCCAGAGCTGAGATATCAAAGTTCAAATTTCGACCCGAAAAAAAAAACGACAGTGTTACCCCTTCGTTTTTTGGGCGAAAAATTAAGTTTCTCCAATCTTCTCAAAACTCTGGATTATGATAGAGGGCTGTGAGACTTTGACCTGAGTGCAAAAATGGAGGCTCTAGACCCTTCCAGAGCTGAGATATCAAAATTCAAAATTTCGACCGAAAAAAAACGACAGTGTTACCCCTTTCGTTTTTTTTTCATTTTCGGGTGCGAAAAATTAAGTTTATCCAATCTTCTCAAAACTCTGGATTATGATAGAGGGCCACGAGACTTTGACCTGAGTGCAAAAATGGAGGCTCTAGACCCTTCCAGAGCTGAGATATCAAAGTCAAAATTTGACCCGAAAAAAAAACGACAGTGTTACCCCTTTCGTTTTTTTCCGTTTTTGGGCGAAAAATTAAGTTTCTCCAATTCTTCCAAACTCTGTATTATGATAGAGGGCCACAGACTTGACCTGAGTGCAAAAATGGAGGCTCTAGACCCTTCCAGAGCTGTGATATCGAAACTCAAAAAATTCGACCCAAAAAAAAAACGACAGTGGTACCCTTTCGTTTTTTTTTTTTTCGGGCCGAAAAATTAAGTTTCTCCAATCTTCTCAAAACTCTGGATTCTGATAGAGGGCATGTGACTTAAACCTGAGTGCAAAAATGGAGGCTCTAGACCCTTCCAGAGCTGAGATATCGAAACTCAAAATTCGACTCGAAAAAAAAACGACAGTGGTACCCCTTTCGTTTTTTTTTTCAGGCGAAAAATTAAGTTTCTCCAATCTTCTCAAAACTCTGGATTCTGATAGAGGGCCGTGAGACTTAAACCTGAGTGCAAAAAATGGAGGCTCTAGACCCTTCCAGAGCTGAGATATCGAAACTCAAAATTTCGACCCGAAAAAAAAAAAAAAACGACAGTGGTACCCCTTTCGGGGTTTTTTTTTTTTTCAGGCGAAAAATTAACTTTCTCCATCTTCTTGAAACTCTGGATTCTGATAGAGGGCCATGAGACTTAGACCTGAGTGCCATAATGGAGGCTCTAGACCCTTCCAGAGCTGAGATATCGAAAACGAAAGTCTCATGGCCCTCTATCAGAATCCAGAGTTTAGAGAAGATTGGAGAAAGTTATTTTTTTGCACCAAAAAAAAAAAACGACAGGGGTAAGTAACACTCTTTTTTTTCGGGTTGAAATTTTGAGTTTCTCTGATCATCTTGAAACTCTGGATTCTGATAGAGGGCCATGAGTCTTAGACCTGAGTGCAAAACTGGAGGCTCTAGACCCTTCCAGAAGTGAGATTTTGAGATATTTATAATGGCATAAATGCTACGTGGGATGACCATATCTCACCTCTGGAAGGGTTTAGAGCCTCCATTTTTGCAAGTGTGTGTGTGATTAAAAAGGGAGTCTCGGGCTGGTCTCGGTCTCGGGCTGGGCTGGACTGGACTGGTCTCGGGCTGGGCTGGACTGGTCTCGGGTGTTGGAGTGGGGCTGGTGACGTCATCGTCAGTGAAGGATGATCCGCAGGATACCAGCACCCACTCCACAAATTGTGCACAGGGGTGTTGTTCAGTCCCACACACAGAAACAAGCAGAGGCAGTCATCTGGGAAACTGGTTTGAGGTACCAAATCCAGGAAAACCTCCAGGTGTTCCACAAGAGAGCTGTTTCCCTGCACAAGTCTCATTAGTCTTACTGCAGGGAAATCCATGTTTGGTCGGTTCTTCTGTCACGGTGTAGTGTGGAATGAAGACAGGCTGAGGCTGATGCAAAGCTTTAATACAAAACATTTACTCAAAAACTCCAAACAGGTACAAGGAAGACTGGCAGAAGATTACACACACTATCCATGAAGCATAACCAAGAACCAACAAGCAAACAGAGAGAATTAAATACAGATACAAAATGAACACTAACAAGGTGACGACAGGTGACACAGATGATCAGGACGGTGAACAGGTGGATGATTGAGGGAGTGAGTTCAGGTGTGGAGACAAGAGGATGCTGGGAAGTGTAGTGAAGATGTGACAATTATATAGTCAGTGAATAATTTTTCAATGATTATTAAACTTTATGAATAAATTTGCTAAAGAATGTAGATTTTCTTGCAGTTTTTAAAGTCTTAAAATGTCTTAATTTTTACCATATTAAGGCTTATAGGTCAAATAATTAACAATTATAGAATGGGGTCTTAATTACAACAATAAACGTTTGCTAACGTTTGTTATTTCAGCCATATTGAGGTCTAGAGAGAAAGCCATTTTACCTGGCCCACTTTAGCTGGAATAAAGTCCTGCTCGGATGTATTACAGTGGCTGCTTTCTGTCTAAGCAAAAGAAAGATTAAAGTATAATTTCTGCAATAATGTGTTTAATTACCCACCAAATTGGTATCAAAAATCAAGATTATGCACTGGGGAAAATATTTAGACCTACCTTGCTTAATTTGAAATGTCCTAAATACATGGAAGTGCTAAAAAATATAAAATAAATGTCATAGAAAGGATAAAATTTTACGTTCTAACAAAAAAAAGTTCCTCTGATCTTCTTGAAACTCTGGATTCTGATAGAGGGCCATGAGACTTAGACCTGAGTGCAAAAATGGAGGCTCTAGACCCTTCCTGAGCTGCATTTTGTAATACTTAGCTGTTGCAAGCTTGCAAGTTCTTACTTGGGTAAAATTAAGATAATACTTTTCATAACAATTACAAAATATCAAAACATTCACAATTAAATATACCACCAATGTTTTCAGTAATTATCCAAACTCACTCACGCACAACACAGCCTCATCTACCCACAAATGCCTACAAAAAAAACAAAACAAAAAAAACTGTAGTACACATCAAAAAATTATTTGATTCATTGATTCACATTCATATTGGAGTATGTACTGTTGTCAGTCAGTAAAGGCACTTTCAGGAATCCTGTGTAAAAAAGGATTTATGCTTTCATATTTGGTTCATCTCTAGTGCATCCACCGGAGGATTCTTTGTTTTGGGCTTGGAGCCCAGAGCTTCAGCTTCTTTCAAAGTCGAGGTGAGGGGCTGTCCTAGAGTCTCTGGAAGAAACAGAGTCAGGATCCCAATGATGAAAGCCAGAATTCCCACAATGAGCTACAGAATAAAAGAGAGCAGAAGATACTGCAGCACTGTTCAGTCCAGAAAATGTATATTCCTGTTGTATTATGCTTTAAGTCTTCATGTTGTAACTTACCGCAATCAAAAACCTTCGGTTGACTGTGTGGTCAAGACCACACAGTCAACCGAAGGTTTTTGATTGCGGTTCCATACCTGAGGCAGATAGATCCAGATGTCAGCGAGGTAAACACAGAAAGGAGCCACCACACTTCCCACCCGACACATCATACTACCACTACCTACAGCCAGAGACCTGCCGGACCAGATATGGTGTCTGTTATTAAATCAAGTAAATTATACTAAATTGCACAAGTCAACACTAGTCACTGAAAGTGTGAAAGTGCATGATTCCAAGTATGTCTCTCTGATATTTATATGTTGACAAGTGTATGACCCCATTCAGATTTTAAAAGTGTAGAGTCTAGCCTTTTAAAGTGTATTAGTACAACAAATACCTGATAGTTGTGGGGTAAAGCTCACAGGTGTACAAGTAAATCAGACCGAATGCAATGGCAATGGCAAATTTCCCTGTCATACTCAGGACAATAGCCAATACCTCAATATCCTGAAATGAAGAGAGAAAAACACAGTAAAACTATATGCATCAGCAACAAAGTTTTAGTCATCAGCTTTTGGAAGTGATTACCAGTAGCAGGCCATAGTAGGGCTGCATTAAATGTGGGATCAGGCACAAGTCTAAACATCCCCAAGACATACCTCTCTGACCCCTCTGAGAACCAGGCAGCTGCCGTATGTATAAACAGCCACTTAGATGACAGGTCTATTTATATATTTTTGGAGCAACGGTGGCTGTAATAATGCCATACTCAGCCATTTTAGTGTGTCAGCAGAGCAGCTATTAGTTATGAGGGGTGACGTGATCCTGATGGAATATCATCCCACTAATGCATTCTTTATAGCCTGTGCTTTCAGTGACCAAGGCTGTTTGGAGACTGACGGAGAAATGCGCTCCATAGTTTACATATTTTACTTACATTCCTTGATTTCTGTCATTCAAATTGCTCCATTTATGTGACCTGAATTTTTAATCAATGCATAATAAATGAAAAAAAAAAAAGATATAATATGAAGTAGTATCAGAATTAATGTTTTGTAAAACAAAAACTCAGTGGTTCGATTCAGTAATTCACTCATTTTGTTTCGTTCTAAATAAGGTGAAATGAGTAGCATGTCTAAATTCAAAATATTCATAAAAGTTGGCAAAAAATACCTGGATATCCTACTTGGACACTTTACTATCCCATGAGCGCATTTGTAAAAGGTAGTGAAGCTGGTAGCAAATATTCCTATTATATTGTAGAACATACTTTTTAATGATTGTGAAGTAACTACTTATTAAAAACAATTACCTACTCGAGTTATTGTCATTTCTGCTTATTTCATTTCAAACTGGAAATCAAATGATCGGCTGATACATGGACCAAAAAGGTTAATTACAAACAACAAAAGACTGATGTGCAGCTGCCCCAGTTACCATGGGAAAAGCAAACACACACACACGTCCTCTCTTGCCAGGGTTAATCATTCATTTCAATAATCACTCAGTTTCTCCGATATGATGATGATGCAACGTGTTGCATTTTGGTTCTAGATCTATCAAAACAACTTAAAATCACGAGTTATTATGGTCAAGTTGATTTCTCTCTTTCTCTTTCTCTCTCTCTCTCTCTCTCTCTCTCTCTCTCTCTTCAAATACATTACTTACTTTAAATACATTTCCTGCTTCCTTTTTCATTTTTCGTTATTGATCTCATTGTAAAATAATTTAATAACGCTTTATTTTACAGTATCCCTGTTACACATTTTACATAGTTACTATAGTAATTAAAGTTAATTATGCATAGTTACATGAAACCAAACATAGTAAGTACATGTATTTAATAACTATTACTTAGTACTTTATTATATAAATATACTGTTACTGTTTTTTTTTTTACCTCTTGTCGAATCAAAATCTCATAACTGAATATCTCGGTGACGACAGGCTTCTCTGTGGTGACGTATGCAGGACTTCTCCAATAAATCATTTAGTCTGCTATATCCTGCACATGCAAGCTTACATTCATCTGCCTCCACTTTTGAGTAAAACTCTCACATCTAAAAATCCAATCAACAACTGATACATAGAAGAACCATATCCCACTACATTTAATCTTTTTAGATAATCTGTGACACTTAGCTGTATGTCACAATACAGAAGATAAGGTTTGTTGCTAGCTACTTCTATTTCATCATGAATTTAACAGTGTATCACAGTAACTATATCACAGTGTGCATATATAACATGGATGCTCACACACACACACACACGTGATCTCATACCTGGGGCACCACAATAATGAGGATGCAGGCTACTCCACCGAGCAGCAGAGCCGGAGCACATGTATTCTTCCTGCCGACACGATCCATTGCAAAGCAGCCAATCAAGTATGATGGAATCTCAACAGCACCTACAGTAGTAACAGTCAAATAAAGGATATTTAAGTGCTGTTCACTTCAGTAATACTAAAACTAAACTGCATGTAGCTCAGTGGAAAGCTCAAAATCCAGCAATGCAATACATAATCATGGCATCATGCTAGAAGAAGTGTTTGCATGATTTTGTATCTCTTATACTATTTTTTTATTTCAACTTATTTTTGTCTTTAAAGAATAGCTCACCCAAAAAGTACAACATTTTCATTTTACAAATAAAGCTTTCAAGTTAAGGCCAAGTGCACAAAGCAGTCTTACAATCCTTTTATGGCTAAACTCTCCATTTATTGTCAACCAACAGTTTATTATCTTATATTCCATGAAAAAAATTATGTGATTGAGGTTTATGACATAAGGGTGAATAAACGATGATTCTGATCTGAAAAAACAAACCACGTACACATATAAATGTTTATGTTTGTAGCACATACAAACATAGCACACATCAGTACATTACCAGCCAGGAAGAGGTTGATATACTGATTTCCTCCCAGGTTGACAGACCCCAGGCTGAAGACATAGTATCCCAAGCTTCCAATGAACCAGATAGCCCAGCAGGTGGCGCTGCGGCCAGCCATTTTCAAGCTTCCAAACATGTCCAAGATGCTTAGCCTCTTCTCGACTTCCATTGCGGTCCCACCTGATTGCTTATTATCCTTTAACAGTGCTCCATCACATTCATCCTTAAGCTCTGACACCTAAGATCAGTGATAGATTCCAATAAACACAAGCTGTTAACAATGCCACTTTTTCTCATATCCGTTACTTTCCACAACTGTTCTAATCTTTCAATTAAGCACCTAAAATATTTCATTATAAAGTTTACAGTATCTCAGCATTATGTACTGATCCTAGTTTTGGTCTTCGTTAGTAATTTCTAAATGTAAATAATATGATAAAATGTGCTAGTTTTGCCCATATCCTCGCAAATGCTGGCAACAGATTTTTGGCAGCAATTGCTTTGTGATATTTATTTTTCTTTGAGTTTTAAAATGCTTCATTTAAAATTGCCTTTCAAATCATGGTACCTATTTATTTTTGCAAGTCACTTCTCTTTCAATTTCCTAAGTTTAAAGGGATACTCCACCATTTGTTCCTATTAAACTATGTTATTCCCTTAACTAAGAGGAGTTGATACATACCTCTCTCGTCTCAGTTCGTGCACTCAATCGCTCTGGCGCGCGAGACACTTTGATAGCACTTAGCTTAGCCCAGTTCATTCAATAGGGGCCAAGCAGAGAAGCGACCAAACACCTCCACGTTTTCCATATTTAAATACAGTTACACGAGTAGAGTAACTCGACCAAGAATGGTGACACAAAATAAAACGTTGCACTTTTCGAAGCGTGTTAAGTGGATAACTATAATGTATGGCGGAATACCACAGCAAGCGCTTTGGAGCACTTCGACTCGGCGCGTTAATGTCATCACTCGTGAAAAGTCCTCTCCCTCTCCAGAGTGATGATATTACTTTGCCGAGTCCATAGATATATATGCGCCAAGTCAAAGTGCTCCCAATCACTTGCTGTGGTATTACGCCATACATTACTCTACTTGTGTAACTGTAAATAGGAAAAACGTGGAGGTGTTTGGTCGCTTCTCTGCTTGGCCCCTATTGAATGAACTGGGCTAGTTAGTGCTATCAAAGTGTCTTGCGCGCCAGAGCGATTGAGTGCACGCACTGAGACGACAGAGGTACGTATCAACTCCTCTTAGTTAAGGGAATAACATAGTTTAATATGAAAAAACGGTGGAGTATCCCTTTAACGTGGAGTCAGATACTATAGTCGTGTGTGATAATGTGGTGCAATGCTGTTTAACATCAAAGTATATTCTGATATATAAGGTATATTCTGAAATTTTTTACCAGATGTCTGAGATGGGTATAATTCATGGCAGGAACAGAATTCCACGTGTTGTCAGAGTGAGTCTACCTTAAGGGTGGGTGGCAGGCCATTGAAGTAGGCCATAGTGTCCAGCAGCTCCTGGGCTTCTTTGTACCGCCCTTTAGCCATTAGGTAGAAGGGTGTTTCTGGAAACTTCCAGCAGTAGAGCAAGAATGGAGAGGTACTGAGAGTGAGGATTATCTGGTAGATCCACCAGACACGAACAAGATACCCTACCAGAGCCACTACCATGACGCCCACAGCAAAGGCAGCGTGCACATGCATAGAGGTCCATGTGCGCACCTTATTTCCTGTAAACTCTGTCACATAGACAAAGACTACAACCAGATACCCGCTCGACACCTGCCAACACAGAGAGAGAGAGAGAGAGTTGGGTTAAGAGTGCTTCTGGCACTTCTAATCAGACACAGCAAATCAGTAATTCAGTTTCTGCACAGCTAATCAATAGTTCTAAATAAATACCCTGATATCTTTATCAAAAAAAATCAGAGACCAGGAAATGTTTTAAAGCAGTTAAAACGTTCACAATTGATTTACTTCTGCTTTGAGCAGCCGGTTAATCAAGGCTGATGCTTTTTTTTTTTTAAACAGGGCTTAAGTTGTTGTTTGTTTTTAACTACAATTTTAAAAGTTATGGGCTAGTAATAGGAAATAAAGTGTTAAATTAAAGTGTTTTAATTTAATAAAATAGAATTAATTTCCGAGTCAGTTTTCACAACATTTTTATTCTTTCAGCAATTTATGTGTGATGCTTCTCAGCTATGATGAACATGAATGTGCATGCATGAATGTAAGTATTATGAACATGGGGCAATTCATTTACCATGGCAAGAAGGAAACGCATCACCACAAAGAGGTAGTAGTTTCCTGTGAAGGCCACAGTCACCCCAAAAATAAACTGGCACAAACTGGTCGCCATCAGAATGGGCCGTCTACCAATTCTGGAATATGGGAAAACAAAAATGTTTATATTAAACATGATTTCATTATGTACAGAAAACTTTAGGAAGCTTCAGAAAACAAAATAGCTTTATATAAACTTTTGCTTTATATCCATTTCAACTGGAGCTTTTACAGCTAAACTTCTATGTTTCCAAACACCTGGCATGAAAGAGACTGGTTGTACTATTGTCAACTGCCAGTTAATGTAGTCTATTCACAATTTGATATTTATGTGTGAACAGCTGTTTAAAGATAAACAGGCCGATTGCAATATCAAGGCAAACCAATCGGCTAGTAGGCATACTTATGTACACCACAATTACTTCACCTTTGACCATTCCACAGTTGTTTCCATTCCTACGCATTTGTTTAATGTTCCTAGAACAAAATATTACTCTACTACTTTTGTACAACCTGAAATGAACATGATTAAATATACAGTGGTGTCCATTATGGAAATCAACTTTCATTCCCTGTTTCTGGAAGGTGAACCTGTGATATCCTGTTTCTATGCAGCCATGCAGTGTCTGCATATCTCACATCCTGTACTGCTTTCTGTGTTCTTAGTTTTCTTACCACAGAAGCAAACATTTGCCAGTTGTAAACCATGCTGCAATATTAAATGTTCAAGTTTAATGTAGTACCGTACCATAGATTACACTAATCTTGTTCAACCTTCTCTCTTTTCTGTCCTAAATAACAGATCAGTCCTGTTTGTGCTGCTGACCATGCTGTGTTCTTGCAAACACATCTCAAGTCTTATGGTCACTTTTATTCTCTTCCCTGATGAAGGTAACTGTATTGAACTGTAATAATTTGTCTCATTAGCTTATCTGTAATTTTTGTCCCTCCATTGCTTTGAATGCATTTGAGTTTAGTTGTGCAGGTTTGCAATTTTTTGAACATTTGTCCTCACAAATATAGTACAAATTGTCCAAACTCTACTGATGAGGACATTTGAAATGGTAATTATATAATTATAAATAATTAATTATGTTAATAATTATAAATATAATTATGTTAATATGAAAACCACTGTAAGAGGTCCTTACTAATATCGCTTACTAATAAGTGTGTGTGTGTGAGTATAATGCAACAGACAATTTACCTGTCTGCGACATCCCCAAACACCAAGGCTCCAACCAAAACTCCCAGCATAAACGTTGGCTGAGAAAGCTTAGCCAGCCATTCCTTGTCACACACCAAGTCCCAGTCTGTTACGATGCTCTGCTCAACCTCGCTGTGATCATAGACAAAGCCACCACATGACTCCACAGTCTTGTTCCCAAAAAACTCGTATTGAAAATTGATGACATCAAGCCGCAGCGCTTTTAAACAAGGACTAAGTTCCCACTGGTCTCCTCCAGCTGTCCGTACAACCACTGGCCTATCACCTGGCTTGTAGTGAGTCCAAATATCTGCTAGAGAGGTTGATGAGTGATTTCTATATAGAATGTCTGTAATATTTGGAGTGTCACAAAGAAATTTTGGCGTTTCAACTAAGAAAACCGAGGCCAGGTAATGTATTCCACAGGAGATGGCCTGGAAAATAGCAGCAAAGTAGAGACATGCCTGAAACCTGAAGGTAAAGAAGAAAGAAAATTATTGCAAGAGTGACAAGACAAGGTGCACACATCACTGGTTATCAATAATACATAAAATATTCAATAAATACAAACAGTAATTTTAAGGACAACATTGCCAACTTGTGCAAATACTGGCATAGCCTACATTAGTTGGCTAAAATCTTATATTGTATGTAACCGAAAGTTTCTCCTGAGTTTAAAGTAAATGTAGTTCATTTTAAATAAGTATTTTTTAACGTAAAATTGTAAACATACGGAATTATTTATAGAATTGGATATTCGTGTACGTCACCGTACGCGTGCATTTACGCGCTTCTAAAGGGCAGCAAAATGAAAATTCCACATAATTTATACGATATAACTATGAGTCGGTGTAAATATTAACAGATATGTGTCCATTCCCATAAAAGACGTAAAACGTCAATGTGCCGTTCAGAAACAAAAGGCTACCTTTTAAAGTGTCCAAGTTCGTCGAATAGTCGCTCCACGCCAGTGGTCATTTTCAGCTTGAGCAGCTTGAGCAGCTTGATCCTCAAGTGTGTGAAGGACTCTTCTGACTCAATTTGTACACATGACATGTTAGATCCTTTTAGTAGTAGGAGGGGCGGTTTCGGTGGGGAACTTTCCACTCCAAGGCAAACAACGACCTAAACTTTCGCGTAACATTTGGCAATGCGACACCCGAAGAGTGAAAAGAGCTATTAGTGCCCATAACTGCCGAAATTAGATCACATTGCTTCGTTTGCTTCAAGTTTGTCTTGTTTTTACGTCCATCGTACGTATAACTCTTGAGTGTGTGCGCGCTTTACATTGTAATTAATTTATTTTATCCTCCAAAGACAAGAGTTAATCAAATAGATCATTAGCCTACTCTATGTGTTAATTCAATCAATGCGTAAATCAATCAATCAGTGCATCCTCTGTTAAAATCGTTTAGACTGGGGCTAGTTTTCACATGCAGTCTGTCACAAGGGCTATATCAAGGTTATTATGGCTTTGAGTCAAAAGTCTAATTCCAACAAATGTGTTTTACCAGTGTTTTTTATTGTATGTTGGGTTCAAACACAGTGCATCAAATCATCTTAGATTGGAAAATTGTTTGTAAATGTTGTCCTTCAAACTAAAATAACAAAATAGTTTTTTCTCATATAGGTAAATGATGAACACTGCTTTAAACCTAGCATGAATATTTATAAGCATGTCACAAAAATGCATGTGACTTTTTTCTACGGCAATAATGGTAGAGCTGTTTAAAAGCTTTTTTGTTGCCAACACTTTAAGGTAAATCTAGAGACATTTCAAGTGAAGTACGTGACAACTAGCCTAAGCCTCTTTTTTATTAAGGTATCCAGTTTTTGAGAGAGGCATGACAGACAGACAGCTTTGATTTAAAAAATGTGTTCTGTAATTTAAGAGCTACTCTGAATGACTCTTGGAAAAATATTTATTCTGAGTGAATTGGAGTGTAAAGTTAAATGTATTATGAATCACATAAGGCCAGTCATTATTATTGTTACAATCACACTGTTGTTTGATTTGTTAATGACTTCATACTTGTCCGAACTTGTAAATGCATCTGGGAGGTGTCTAAGGTCCACGAATAACTATAATCTGTCCCAACCACGCTTACAGTTAAAGTCTAGAGGAGACCACGCTTTTGCTGTTGTCGGTCCTAGGTTGTGGAATAGCCTCCATGTCTCCTTGAGATCGCTATCATCTTTATATAAGTTTAAACTCAAATTAAAGCTGTATCTTTTGGAGCTGGCATTTATTAAATGTATCTATGTTTTCTTTTGCAGTCTGAATGATATTTCTTGTTTTCCTTAAATATTGTTGAATTTACGTTATGTGAAGCACAGTGGTCACCTTCTGCTGTGTTTACTTGTGCTATATAAGTAAATGAAAAAAAAATCCCTCTGTCAGTCTCTGAATGCCAGGATTCAGACACTTTTCTCTCCTAAATTTAACCCTTTAAACATGTGGTCACAGCGGGGTGTATGACACTTTGCATATACTGTATTGTATAGGCCTATACTTTAGGCCTACATACACATACAGGCATGCGCTCACTAACTACCTCACTAAAATAGTCAGGTGAGTCAAATAGTATAAACATTGACTAAAATAGTCAAAACATCAGGTGAGCACTAAATGTGATTTTAAAAAAGCAAATAGAAAGAAAGAAAGAAAGAAAGAAAGAAAGAAAGAAAGAAAGAAAGAAAGAAAGAAAGAAAGAAAGAAAGAAAGAAAGAAAGAAAGAAAGAAAGAAAGAAAGAAAGAAAGAAAGAAAGAAAGACTACTAATAGTGTTGATCTATGGCATAATGTATTCATCTCGTCTGAATTTGGGAATTTGTTCACCGTGCCAACAATTCAGCGTCTTCACCACAAGGAGGCAGAGTAAAGCTATACAGGAAATGGGTCTTTTACAAATAGGCCTACACAAGAAATAACTAACCTTAAATTATGCAGATGATGACATTCATTTGAAGCTAATGTTGGACAAAATAAAAGAAAAACTAAACTAAACTTTGAAAAAAATCGGATGTCCAACATATGATATCCTGGCTTTGACATTTTATCAAAACAAGCTTAGGCAGGAGAGTTTGGAATGTCAAAGCTGACTTGTGAAAGTAAACATGCTTTGACATTGCATCCACAAATCCTTCTTCAGGTACTTCTTTGCATGTTCTTAGCAAAATAAGTATTCTGGAATATTGAAGTGACTTCTTGCTCATATACTGAGAGATAGTATTTTGTAATGCAGATTTTGCTTTATGTTACCACATCTGCTGTTTATAAATATGCTATTAAAACTGCTCCATACTTATAACTAAGTATAAGACACATTTTAACAGTGTGCTCTTCACATGTAATAATAACATACGCTGTATCTTTTCTGTTGATTAAGAAACATGTTTTTGCTCATAGTGTATATAGACCGGCAATTTGCTGTCCAGGGCTACATTTTTCAAAAGCATTGTAAGTCTAAGTAGATCATAGCACCATTGGCACCAATGGTCTCTACAATCTTTTCTACAACCTTAGCTCACAATGCTTTTGAGAAATGCAGCACAGGTCATCTGACTATCATCACTGGAAAAACAAAAATGAAAACATGTATGGTATTGCATAATAAAAGTTATTTATTTAGCCTCATCCATCATGCCATTAAAGTAAGATACAGAGCAGGATGAAACTATATGTCACAATTGACATTTTTGCACTTTATATTTGGTTGATATTTGAAGCATCATTTATACAAATAGAATAATACAACAGCATACTAATAAGGCATGTTTTGCATCAGTGATGGCTTTTTAAACATGTTGGTACTGCACTTCAGTTAAGTGTCCAATGGCTTGAATGTCATTTCAAAAGATGGTAGTGTTTATTTCATTCACTGTGTGTTCAGAATAACAATTTTACTGGAAAAACGGGAAAGGAAGCTCAATTTGCTGTATTCCATTATTTGCATTAAGCACTTCCTCAAATTGAGTAGAAATGTGGGTAAGAAATTGACCTATGGGGAACAGAATGCTGAATAAAACGATCCCTTCACTGTCATCTAAAGACTTCAGCAACTTCTTGTAGAAAGTGTTAAGAGGAGCAGCAACAGCTTCTAAGATGTCGGACTTCAGGCTGCCCACAAAATCTTCTGCTTCATCAACAAACTGTTGGATTAACTGTACTCTAGTCTCAAGAAAGACATCAAGGCTTTCCCCTTGCTTCATCACATCTGCCACCATAGCTAGGAGACTTTTCAGCATACTTCTCACATTTTCTTTGAGCTCAGCTACAGTGACCTTTTCAGTGAAAAACACCATTTCAACTGTGTTGAAGTCCTCCATGATGGGAGAGAAATATACCTCCAGGTTGTTAGCAAGTTTCTCCAGCATTTCTGCAATTATAGATTTGATTTTCAGGCAGATATCAGGCAGTGTAGCTTCTTCCATTCCAGGCAGTTTGTATTTGGTCTCTCTCAGGAAATCAATGACAGCATTAAGCAGGACCTGAATGCTCTTATGGGACGCAACAACTACATTTCTGAACATGACAGATAGCTCACTGAGCTCTGGTCTGGGCCTGAGAGCATAATTGCGGGCATCTGTATAGACTATATCAAATTCTCTAAAAATCCTATAAAGTCTTTCAGATGAAATAATGATGCCATATTTTTCAGCAAATCCTCTAACGCTGGATGAGATATCTGGTAGCCTGTTCATCAAGCCTGTGGACACATCACGTACAGCCTGTAAATTGTAGCTGATCAAAAGTACTTTTTCATCTCCCTTTGATGCAGGTCTGATGATCAGAAAGTCAACATCATCCTGTGGTGCAGACTGCAAAAAAAAAAAAAAAAAAAAAAACACAATTATTACAATATAGGCAATCATGTAAATGCAATTATACAAGTACAAAAAAAAAAAAAAACCAGAAAGCATAAGATTCTAACATGATAAATAGCTCAGTTTAAAATAGTAACAAAAGAAATGCCACTTACTGCATAACGGCTGTAGATCCTCGCATTCATCTGGGATGGGATCATTCCTTGAAACTGGAAGCCAAGGTGGCCAGTTGTTGGTGTAGAGACCGAGGCACTTATACCATCTCTTCTAGCAGCATAGCGAAGGTTTAAATCAGTGAATGTTGGGCTGGTGATGTCCACATTCAGGGTATGGCTAGGATCACTAAGCCAGAAGTAATAATTGATAACTCCGTTTCACAAACATAATTTGTTATAAACTAAAGAATACTTGTAAGTGTAAAACTATATTTTTACTTTTATTCAATAAAAGTAAGTCTGAAGTTTTTTCATTACCCCATGCGAATAGCATTACTGATGTCCATAGTAAAGTCAGCATGAGTAAGTACAGCATTAGCTCCTACAACCAGGGCATCGTTCTCCATTGTAGTACTCATAGAGCCTGTTTTGTGTGAAAGCAAAAATCTGTTAATCACACCGCCCATTCTTAATTTCTTCTTAGAAAATATTAGCATCATTGAATGATACACATTTAGTAATTATTTTTCCTCGCAGACACTTACTGTCAAGATCGTAGTCCAGAAACACAACTGGTGATGTGGTCGTAGCCTTGAAAACAGTTTTGTAGTCTGGGGCACTACCATCTAGTTTAGCAACAACATCTGTGGTGTACACTGGAGAGATTATTTTTGATGTGTAATCAATTTTCTGCTTGGGTACACTGAGTTCCACTACCACCATCTCAGAGATGCTAAGGTCACCAAAGGTGCTTGGTTGAGCCAAGTCAATTTTCATATCAGCCACCAGTGACTTCAGAAGATCCAGATCAACTGTGGCCTGGCCAGTATGATCTCCCTTTGTAGTAAAACCTCCGATATTTGCTTCGTTCTTGGAAGAAAATTTCAGCACAGCATAAACATGTTCAATAGCTGTCTCCACAGACAGGTTTTCATCCACATCAAATGCAACCTTTAGATCTCCATAATTCATGTTGCCATCGCCAACAGTCTTCAGAGCATATCGCATACTATTGCCATTCATATAGAAGGATTCATCATAATTCAGAGCTCCCTTCACAATACCACGGTCTAGGAATGTTCCATCAATG